ATCCAATATTCCCTTTTCTAGTATAAAACAAACGCCTTTAACTCCTTCCTTTCAGGATCTCGGGATCTCTCCCACAAATAGAGATCCTCCTCATAATGAAACAGACTCAACCGTCGAGCATCCTCATCATTGATCTCCCATTCTACAATCCTCCCTCTCTCTCTCTCTTAGTGCCCTAGTCTCCAATTCAATCCCCTTACCCATGGCTTTTCTTTGTCTTTCAAAGAGACCACCTCTCTAACCTAGCCGCCACCTCACCTACACCATGTCCTCTGTATGTAGTGAAATAGTTTGGCTCAAGGCTCTACTTCATGATATAGACATTGACCACTCATATGCCATCCCTTTATTTGCTGACAATATGAGTGCTATCAAGATTGCATCCAATCCGGTATTTCATGAGTGTACTAAACATATTGAGGTGGATTTGTCACTTCATTCGTTACCTTCTTCTTGCGGATCACATTTCTCTCCCACATGTCTCCTCGAGCTTATAACTTGTAGATCTCTTCACCAAAGCTATGACCAAAGCCCGATTTAATTTTCTTATGAACAAACTGATGCTTGTTCACCAACATCAGTTTGAGGGAGAGTTTAGAGAAGATGGAGGGTAATTTTGTCATTTTACCATCTTTATTGTAAACTACTATGCGTGTAAATTAATTTTTTGCCTTGTACAACAATGTACCTTTTATTCGTTAATCTTATCCATTTGTTGAGTAATATAAATACTATTTTGTTTTTGTTGGTTCGACTGGACTGATCAACCCTAACAAATCTGAAGTCTCTTGAGTTTCACTCTTCTCTCTCTCTCTCTCTCTCTCTCTTTCATACTAACACTTACTACTTGTTGGGGCACCATTCAATACTATTGAAATGTTGTTATTCTGTATGTTTACTACCATAGGGGTACTTTAGTACTTTTAGCTCTCTTTATTTTAAGTTGTGTCGCCCTAGTATAAATAATAAAAAGCGGGCACCGCCAGCACCTTTTCTGAGACTCCAAATCTTTGTCTCCCTTCTCTCCTCTCTCTCTCTCTCTCTCTCTCTCTTCCTTCTTCTCATTTGGAAACATGGTATCAGAGCAGGACTGTCAGATTTGAAAGAAGAGATCGAGCAAACCTTCTCTGTCTTCACCCTTCGCCAAATCTAGATCCAGATTCAATCGGACTGAAGTACACTCTCTCCCTTCTCCTTTTTTTATTTTTTTCTGGTCGTGTGCCAGAACAGAACCTGTAATAGGTTCAATTTGTTAATGTGAGGCGAGTAGTCCCTCTTCTTTCCTTTTTTGTGGGATTGGTTGATCCCTGTAACAGATTATAGGTTGGTAATGACCTTTATATGCTGTGACAACAGCCTTCTGGTGAACTTGTAGGTCAGGGGATGACTTGTATATGCTGCAACAATAGTCACACTTGATTTGTAGGTCAAGAGAGGACTTGTATATGCTGCTACAATAGACATACTTGATTTATGGTAAGCCAGTGATGACTTGTGAGTTCGGTAACAACAACTATTTTTCGTTGAAGAACTGAGATTTAAAGAGGGGAAAGGAGGGGAGTGGTTGTCTCTAATTCCCTAGTGCAATTTTTTTTTTATTGGGGTGTTCGGTTGCTTCTATTTGGTCTTCCTTGTGTTTAGTTGGAATGTAACCTAAAGTTGTGATTATGAGTGGTGAAGACTCTGCCACATCTGGAGTCTCCTCAATGCAGAATGGAATAAGTGGGGGAATAGATTTATCCTTCCCTATGGCTGTTATACCCCTGGATGGTCTAAATTACTTAGAATGGTCGAAGGGGATCAAGTTATACATTACTGAAAGGGGAAAAATATGGTATATAAATGGGAGAATTAAAGAACCGAATTTCGGGAGTATTGAGTATGACAGATGGAACTAGGAAAATAGCATGGTTATGTCTTGGCTTTTGGTGTCTACGCAACCTCAGGCAAAAAGAACTTTATGTGGGCTGAAACGACTTATGAGATTTGGAAGAGGCAAAATCAACATATTCTGAACTACGTCACTATGCAAAAATCTATCAGTTATAGGCAAAATCATCCACTTGTAAACAGGGGGAGAGGAACCTTTCTGTGTACTATTCAGATTTAACCTCCGCATGGAAGGAGTTAGATCACTACCAGAGTGTAGATTGGAAGTGTGATAAAGATGCAAAAGCATACAAGAAGCTTGTTTCCCAATAAAGAGTGTTTGCATTTCTCCATGGTTTGAATCAGTATATGAATCCATCAAAATCCAGATCCTATGCAACAAGGATCTTCCCTCTGTCCAGGAGGTTTATGCATTAGTACAGTCGGAAGAGAGTAAAAGAAATTTAATGAACAGCTTCAGAGGGGATATAGTTGTGTTGGCAACAAAAGGGAATGTTACTACAAGAGGGGGAAATTTTTTTAAGAAGGGGGACCCTCATAAAAGGGTGAAAGACAAAGACAAACTATGATGCACCCATTGCCAGAAACCCCGACACACCCAGGAAACATGCTGGGATCTTCATGGAAAGCCCAAATGGGCCCAGGATTTAAGCAAGAAGCAAGGTTTAGACCTGAATAAGAAGTCAGGACAGCAAGGTCCAAGAAAGTTCACCATAGCAAATATGGCTTCTCAGGAGAATCAGCTCCCTACTACTACTATGACTCAGACATACACTTTTGGTTCTGACACGAGRTAGGATAATATCAATTTATTCGGTGACCATTTGGAACTCTATGGTAGAGCAATTCATCATATGGATTCTTCTCCTCCTTCAACTTCATTTGCATCTACATCAGATAACTCTACCACAGCTTTCCATGTATCGTCTCATCCCCTGACTTTCCTTGGATAATTGATTCTGGAGCGTCAAAACATATGACTGGTAAATCCACTTATTTTCATACCTACCACTTCATATCTAGAAGATACAAGGTGAGACTAGTTGATGGTTCATATTCCACCATAGCTGGCCAATAAACCATTTCTCTTTCCTTTGGCCTCACCCTGACTAATGTCTTATATGTTCCAAAATTTCCCATTAATTTATTCTCTGTTAGTAGTATTACTAATTCTTTAAACTACTCAATAACATTTTTCTCTTCTTATTATGTACTCCAGGATTTGGCCTCGGAGAAGACGATTGGTAGATGACGTATGGTGGATGGACTCTACATGATGGAGAATAAGACTAGTCTACAGTCACAAAGTCTAAGAGTCAATCTAGTATAAGTCAGGTCTATTTATGGCACAATCGTCTTGATCATTTATCCTTTGAGTCTTTAAAATTGGTGTTTGCAAAGTTGTTTAAGTCAGTGTCAGTGTCATAGTTTACATGTCAAACTTGTCAATTGAGTAAGCATTGTAAAACTCATTTTTCTTCAAAGAATAATAAATCTGAATTTCCTTTCCATATTATTTATTCTGATGTTTGGGGCCCTGTTACTTTACCGTCCGAGAGTGTCTACAAATATTTTATTACCTTTACCGTCCGAGAGTATCTAGATACTCTAGATACACATATTATTTATTGATGATTACTCTAGATACAGGAAAATTGGGAGTGAAGTTTGTTGATTCCTCTATTGATCTTGACCACAAATTAAGAGACTATCAAGGTGAACCTTGAAGCAGTAGAAAGAGTTCTCAAATATCTTAAGAAGTTCCCAGGTGCAAGTTTGTTATTTCAAAAGCATGGGCATTTGAAAGTTGAAGTGTATACCAATGCTGATTGGACATGATCTTTGAATGACTGGAAGTCAACAAGTGGTTATTGCACATTTATAGGAGGGAACCTAGTTACCTAGAGAAGCAAAAAGTAGAATGTGGTAGCTATGTCTAGTGTTGGAGTTGAATATCAAGCAATGTCTCGTGGAGTGGCAGAAATTATGTGGCTAAAGAATTTGTTAAGTGAGTTGGGCTTTCCAGTTGATGGACCTATGACTCTTTACTGTGATAACAAAGCAGCCATAAAACATCGCTGCTAATCCTGTGCCGCATGATAGAACTAAGCATATCGAAGTTGACAAACATTTCATAAGAGAAAATGTTGTCACAAGGGAAGTGTGTACTCCCTATATCAGTTCTGAAGACCAACTTGAAAACATTTTGACAAAGGGGTTACATCACTTGCGACATTATGATTTATGTGACAAGTTGGGCATTATTGATATCAATATCCCAACTTGGGAGGGAGTGTTGATATGTTGTTATTTTATATGTTTAGTACCGCAAGGGTACTTTAGTACTTTTAGCTCTTTTTATTTTAAGTTGTGTCGCCCTAATATAAATAATAAAAATTTGGCGCCACTCTCTCTCTCTCTCTTTCTTCTTCTCATATGGATAACAAATACAATCAAAAGGCTAGATGTGCCCTTTAGACTTTACTCAATTATAATGAGTTTACAAAATGAAATTATAATTAAAATTAAAATTTTCAAGAAACTTTTGGGAGTTTAATAATGAGTTTATTAAATTTTTTTGGGAGTATTTTAATAAATCTACTTCTGAATTTGTAGATATAAAGAGTAAAATGAGTATTTTCAAAAAAACTAATGCATTAGATCAACGTTTTCTAACTGGGACAATGATGGAAGAGATGTAATGTAGGACTTTTCAAAACTATAAGAGAAGTTTTTGTTAAAATCAAACTTTAGGAGATGATTTATATGGTTGTGAGAAACCTGAGGAAAAGTTTTTATATTTTACCCTTATTTTTTCTGAAAGTAAGTGAATCGAATTAGATTATATCCGGTAACTTGTCGAATCGGGTCCGGATCTGTATATTATAATCCTAACGGATTCGAGTTGAATTCGAATATGGGATAATTGTCCAATCTAATTTGAATGTACCACCCCATTCAAATTCGATTCGATCTGTTTGTGTGACTAGTATTCACTGGTGTGGTCATTGGTTCCACAGCCCCTAAACAGCCAAAGCGTTACTAATTAGGCTGTATTTGGTTTGAAACTTTGAATTAAGAGGTGGGGAAAGGACCTTTCCGTAAATTTTTCAGAATTCTGGTTGCGCGCGTTTTCCCGCCTTTTTTATTTTCTATCTCCTGTTTTGGCATTTCAATCCTCTCTTCACTTCTTCCCTTCAAAGTTGATCACATCTCTCAGTGATTGATTCCGACGAACAGCCCTTCCCTTTTCAATCCTCTATTCACTTCCTCCCATCAAACTCTGGGGCTTTCGACCTCCGAAACCCGCCCACTTACCTCCTCAGTTTACGCTATTCTTTCTCCTTTTCTTCTTCTCCTAGGGTTTCAGATTGAAGCCATGTACGTCAAGGAGATCTGCCTGGAGGGCTTCAAGTCCTACGCAACGCGAACAGTAGTTTCCGGATTCGACCCCTACTTCAATGCCATAACGGGGTTGAATGGCTCAGGGAAATCGAACATTCTCGACTCTATCTGTTTCGTGCTGGGTATCACGAATCTGCAGCAAGTCCGGGCTTCGAATCTACAGGAGCTGGTTTACAAGCAGGGACAAGCTGGGATTACCAAGGCGACGGTTTCGATTGTGTTTGATAACTCGGATCGGAGTAGGAGTCCTCTTGGATACGAAGATTGTCGGGAAATCACAGTGACGCGACAGGTAATGTTGGGTGCTTTCTTGTCGTGTGCTCAAGGATTGTTTATTTGTGAGGGCTTGAGGACTTGGTTTCCTTTATTCATACTTGTACATGCTACATGGTAGAATCCTAAAGCTGTGTTTGGTTTGATAAAAAAATAAGAGATAAACAGGAACTTGAGGGGAAGTTCTTAAGGAAACCAAAAGCAACATAAATGTTGTTAGCTTTGGGAGATTTTGTTGTATTTTTGTAGCTTAACTAGTAATCTGAATATTTTGTTTCCTTTAGATTTCTGTTGTCATTAGGAGAATTTGGAAAAGGTTTGGTATGTTAGAATACGATATTCTACATGATAAATGACCAAATGATGTATATATAATGAACTTCAATTATATTCTTTCACAATTCATGGTCTCATTTTTTTGATCATCATATAACTTATTCGTTTTTTCTTTGGTTATCGTTTTCAACCATTTATTGTGTCCATTCCGTGGGAATACATAACACTTCGGTATGATAACCAAATTATTCTACATTATAAGTCCTAAATGTTGCAAGTTCTGTGAATTTTATTTGTAATTCTATTTTATAACCTGACAGATTTGGTGCTGTATCTATCCTATGCTTATTTTGACAATCTGGATTCTTTTTAATACAGACAAAAGACAGATTTCCTTGTGCTAGAAGCCTAAGTCCATAAGTAAATTCTATGGTTTTCATGGTATTTTTATAATTCAACTAGTGATGTGACTCCTTTCTGTCCATATTGTAGGATTCTGCTCTTTACTATGCCAATTTGTGATGATGTTGACTGATATAGAAACCATAAAATTCTAAATTCTAAACCTTAAATATTGTACATTTTGCGAAGTTAGGAATTGTGAATTTTTTGCAGCATATATTTCTGATCCAGTGGGTAATGTGATTTCTTTATTCTTGTGTGGTCTTTGTATACCCTTTTTACTCATTGATGATAATTGTTCTCTGAGTGTGCAAGCATAATTCCAAATGCTAATACTATAAAACTTAAATTTTGTAAATCCTGAAGTGCTCTTTTATAGTTGGAGAGGTAAAGTAGCTTCCTTGTCCCCAATCAAAAAACAGTTTCCTTGTCAGTAACCTGATTATGCTTTTTTTTGATCAATAGTAACCTGATTATGCTCAGCCATGATAATCCTGAAACTTTTGTATGTAAACAATTAAATACTACATGCTAAAACCCTAAATGATGTTTTATTTTTTTTTTAAATTATAGACTGCATATTTTTATAATCTAAGAGGTGAAGTACTTGCTTGCCTAATTTTACATTGTACTCTGTTCTATCATGACAACTAGGAAAAGTCTCAGCATGTGAACCATAAAATTCTGGATGTTGAAACCCTTAACCTTGTAATTTTCTGAACTTAGGGATGCTACTCTTTGAAAATATTGTTGAGAAATGTTTGTTGACTGTGTAGATTGTTGTGGGTGGAAGGAACAAATATCTCATTAATGGACACCTCGCTCAGCCATCTCGAGTCCAAAATCTTTTTCATTCTGTGCAGCTCAATGTTAATAATCCACACTTTCTCATAATGCAAGGGCGTATAACCAAGGTTTTGAACATGAAACCCCCTGAAATCTTATCCATGCTTGAAGAAGCTGCTGGGACAAGAATGTATGAGACGAAGAAGGAGGCTGCATTGAAGACACTTGAGAAGAAGCAGAGCAAGGTTGATGAGATAGACAAACTTCTTGACCATGAAATACTGCCTGCTTTGGAAAAGCTGAGGAAAGAAAGGATGCAGTACATGCAGTGGGCTAACGGTAATGCAGAATTAGATCGTCTTAGAAGATTTTGTATTGCTTTTGAGTTTGTTGAAGCAGAGAAAATAAGAGACTATGCTGTCACGGAAGTTGAACAGACCAAAGGAAAAATTGCCCAGATTGAGGATAATGTAAAAAACATGCAGTTGGAGATGCAGGAAATGGAGACCAAAATATCAAACTTGGCTGCTGAAAAAGAAGCAACAATGGGTGGGGAGGTAAAAATTTTGTCAGATAAGGTGGATGCCCTTTCTTGTGATCTTGTGCGAGAAACATCCGTACTAAAAAATCAAGAAGAATTACTCAAGGCAGAAAGGAAGAACACTGAGAAGGTAACTGCAGTTTGGGAGCAGGGACCATATAGGGTTTCTTTCCATTAGCTTCAAATTCTTTACATTATGTTGGATAACAGAAATCTGGGGTGTATTTCTTTCTCCACTGATTCTTTTCTTCTCATTTTCTGGTACTTTTTTTCTATTAACTGTGGGAATCCCATATGCCCAATCCTTAGATTTGCAGATTTCTAGACATTGATGCTGTGCTAATATTTTTCCAGATTGTAAAAAGCATTGCTGATATTAAGAAGTCCATAGAAGAGAAGGACTCTTGTGTCAAAAAGTCTCAAGATGGGGCCGCTGATCTCAGAAAGAAAGTTGAGAATCTATCTAAAAATTTGGAAGAATATGAAAAAGAATATCAGGTAAGATTGCTATTCTTTTTGTTGTTGTCTATTGGTTGCCTGAGGGATTTGTTCTTCCTTACATTCACATGTATTTCAATTGCAATTTTACAAAGACAGTGTTATAACTGTTGATAGGGTGTACTAGCTGGTAAGAGCAGCGGAAATGAAGAGAAGTGCCTTGAAGATCAATTAGGTGATGCTAAAGCTGCTGTTGGGTCTGCTGAAACAGAATTGAAACAGTTGAAAACCAAAATAAGCCACTGTGAGAAAGAACTGAAAGAGAAAAAGCAGCAGTTGATGTCAAAACGTGAAGAAGCTGTTGCTGTAGAGAATGAACTTAACATCAGAAAAAAAGATGTGGAACATGTTAAGATGGCTCTAGAATCTGTTTGTTATGAGGAGGCTCAGATGGAAGATCTACAAAAGGTTTGGTTGTTTGTTTCCTTGCATGTCATGCATGCCTTTTGTCTCTTAAACAATGTTTTGAAAATTGTAATCGTATGATTATTTCTATTTTTTAGAAACTTGTCAAAAAAATTAAGTATAGATATATTGAAAGGCTAAATATATATAGAAAAGTGATTTTACCCTATTTTTTAATCTATATCTACCATATATGTACTTAAAACAAGAAAATTTGCCACTTATACAATAGAAGCCTATGATGTTATAATCAAGTTTGACTTGAAAATCAAACAAATCTACATACAATGGCCCTTTAACTTACATATGATGCACAGTAAACTCAATTTCTAGTATAGAATAATGTAAATAAATCATTTTCTAGTAAGGGCTTTAAAAAAAGTCTCCCACGGCAAAACTAAACATACACAAAAACAAAAAACAAAGTAGAGAACTGTTATGGGCCTGGGCATAGGATCTCATCACGGGTCGGTCCACGGGGAGAACCTCTAGTTTCCCCTTGCCCCTCCCTTTGCGTGCTAACCCTATTGTGGCGACCTAAGGGGTGATTTGTCCAAGAGATCACCCTAACTCTCCTTTACTCTTCTCTTTTACTGAAATTTGGATGCCTTTATTGAATAATAGTGGCTCCTTGAATAGGAGATTACAAGAGTCCTGCTCTTAGGGAGACTCCTTGCTGAATAGGGAGACCTCCAACTCTATCTTGATAAGATAAGACTGATAAGATAAGATAAGTCTCTCTTAATCCTAATCTAATAAGATAAGATAATCTCTCTTAATCCTAATCTTTTAAGATAAGTCTCTCTTAATCCTAATCTAATAAGATAAGATAATCTAATCTACTAACTTAATAAGATAAGATAAGAATAACAAGATAGTCTAATCTAATCTGCTGAATGGATAAGACTGTTGCTGCCGAATTGGATGGGATGAGAACATCGGATCATTGCTGCTGCTGTTCCCAATACGCGTCCACATCAAGAACTGATTCTTAATTGAATTTATTTGAATCGTAGTGAATTGTAAAAATCGTATAAATCGTAAGATTTATGAATCAAAACGTAGGATTCAAACAAAAACCATAAGATTTTTGCAGAAAAGGATTCAGACATAAGATTCGAATCGAAACCCTTGGGATTCATGATTCAAATCATGAATCATATTGTAAATCATAAGATTTTGACAACATTGCTCTTAAACTTAATGTATATATTTTTTAAATCTATGTCAGGATCGTGTATCTGAGTTGGAGCTGGTGCAGAAATTGAAGGATGAGGTTCGGGTACTTTCAGGACAATTGGCAAATGTCCAGTTCACTTACCGTGATCCCGTGAAGAATTTTGACAGGTCAAAAGTGAAGGGTGTGGTTGCAAAGCTCATTAGAGTGAAGGATAGCTCCACAATGACTGCATTGGAGGTTAGCTGGCACTTTGCGTGATACCATAGAACCTGCATGCATATTTATGAGTTCTAATGTTCTCATACTAAACTTGAAGTAATAAGATTTCAATATCAAAATAATGGATCGTGCAGGTTGCTGCTGGAGGCAAGCTATATAATGTTGTTGTAGATACTGAAAATACGGGAAAGCAACTACTCCAAAATGGTGACCTTCGAAGAAGAGTTACAATTATACCTCTGAACAAAATACAATCTCATACTGTTCCCCCTAGGGTTCAAAATGCTGCTGTTAGATTGGTTTGTTTCTGCATTTGGTTTCCACCCTTTATATTCTTTCACTATATCTATTGGTCCATAAATAATGTGCTTGTCTTCAGGTTGGTGATGGAAATGCCCAACTGGCACTTTCTTTGGTTGGATATGATGAGGAAGTAAAGGTTAAGTCCTATTGACCAAGAACTCCTTGTCATTTTTGCATTGTGCATATACCTCGCCTTTTAATTAAGTTATTGTCATGTGTAAGTACCCTGCTCATATTTATTTGGTTTGCTTGTTGTGCCTGATGAATGACCAAAGCCATGTCCTACTCTCCTTTCGTAACAGATGAATTTTATTAATTGTGAGTGAAAAAAAATAATATATTTACTTCCTGTGCTAAGCACCTCCGTAAATAGGCTAGCCATTGCTACCTAATCCCATCCCTCTCTAATTACAATTAGAATTTTTTACATCTGTCCCCAAAATAATTGTTCTCTGTTTACCTATTCTATCAGCCAAGTTGTTTGCTAATCTATTAACCCAAAAGAAGAGACCATTTCACTAGTCAAATGTATTGTCTCCCAGATTACATTATGAAACATTATGTTTAATGTGTTGATTTCCCTCTTCTAACCTGTATTTGTACCTTTTTAAACATTATGTATAATTGCTAAGATACCCATAGGAGGGGCAAACAGAAATAAGAAAAGAAGTACAATATTTGGATTAAGATAAATGCTATTATGTAACAGGTCCTATGCTAATATGGAATACCTATCATCTGTAAGTTCTATTCTCTTCATAGCTCTGCTTTTTTTTAATAAGTCTGAGGCTGCATATGGTAAGAGTGTAAATGTAAAATGTACAGTTCATGAAAATGAAAACTTGGTTTGGTTTTGCATTGATAAATTTTGTATTCTTACCAAACATATTTGATTGTGATGGGTACAAACATGAATTCCAATACTAGAATCTATCTTTTTTATATTGACCAACTTTGAGTGCAAAAGTTTGTTACCATTTTTACATTTTGAATGCAAATATGCCAGAAAAAAGAAGTTTACTATCATTTTCAATACAAAAAGCGTATTCTTACCAAGTGCCTGCAAACCTGAACTAGAGTGCAAATTCACTTCGGTTCAGTGTTTGCACTCTTACCAAACACAGCCTTAGTTTATATATTCTTTTAATTTTTTTTTTCAGTTTAGAATTATGGCCTTCTTTAATTGTTAATAAATTTTGGATGCAATTTTTATTTAAATATTTATTTTATAGCATTGTGTTTGCAAAAATTGCATTACTGACAGTAATAGATTTAAAATGCTGTTGTCTTTTATATATGATGATTTGCCATGTGTTGAGAGAAAATGAATATTTTTTTTGATAATTGAAAATGAGAAAATGAATGTTACTGATAAAGTGCATTTTCAGTTTTTCAATTTATATGCATGCTGATCGGTAGACAAAATTAGGAAATTGACCTAGAATTTAGTTTTTCGGTAAAATTCTATTAGCCAAGCAATGCCTAGTTAACTGGGTGCTCAAATGTCACTAAGAATTTCCCATATGCCTTGACAACTATTAATTACACATGTTGACAAAAATGAATTCCATTTGTGTTTTTGTTTTCCATTGGTGGTTATTTCTCTTGCTCTTTATTAGTGGATATGAGTTACAGGTTAGAAGAGTAGGGGTATTTTTGAAAAAAGTATCCCAATTAGTTGAGTAAGATTGGGGCTTTTATCAAAAAGAGTCATTCACGAATATTTGGGAAATTACCAAATATGAAGAGGCCGGGCAAAGGAAGATTGAGTTGAAGGTTGCAGCGGTCAACAAAGGAAAATGTAACAAGACCCAGTCCAATAACAAAGAATTTGAAGATAGAGAAGGTGAGTACAGTGGTGGCAAATCAGGCACGACAAGCGAAGCATCTTAGCTGTAAGATAGAAATGATTCAGACATAGATAATAGAGTTATTTTAGGCCATTCCTCTCCTTAGAATAGTAAGAGTGCTATAGATGAGGCTGTTGAAGGCTGCACAAAGGAGGTGGACGTCAGAGAAGTGGCAGAGCAGAGATCTGTAGTAGAGGCTTTTGTAGAGGTGGTGGTGACAAGGGGGTAGGAATGGCAAGGGGCGGGTTTTGTAAATTCTAGACCCTACCCGCCTCCCTAAACTTCCCAACCTGTACCTACCCCAAAACCCATAGCGAGTTGGATTTTGAGAATACAAACCCTCTCCGCACCTGAAAATGCAAAACCCTCCCCGGCCATACCCTCCCTGCATTCAAGGGTAGGGGCGGGTTGGGTTTAGAACCCGCATCCACTTTCCTATTATTTCTTGTCATATGTAAGGAATAAATAAGTAAAATAACATGAATAAACAACAAAATTTCCAATTATTTGGTTAAGGCATGTAAAAAACACATAAACTATCAATTATCCTTCACGTAAAATTCAAAATATTATTAAATTCAAGAACTAATACATAGAGTTTATATGCTTTCCAACAATATGTGGGTTGGGTAGGGTCGGGTTTAGCTGAATACCATACCCTACCCGTACCCGTATGGGTTATAGAATCCCAAAACTTGTCCCCACCCCAAAACCTGTTCTTTAAGAAAAAAAAAAAAATCGCCCTGTTAGGGAGGGTAGGGGCGGGTACCCACCTGGTAGGCTAGAAATTGCCATCCCTACAAGAACAAGGGGGTGCTCATAAGAGAGGTATGTTCTCTTTAAAATCTGGTAAAAAGGTTGAGGTCATTATACATTAAATAAATAAAATTTGAACTTTATGGATGGTTGCGACAAAGAAGGGTCCCTACGATCCGTTATTCTCTTGCTTTGACTTGAGCTCTTCTCTTCTTCCTTTTTTTTTCTATTTTCCTCTTATTCTACTCTTTCTTTTCTTGATTTCTGTGCATAAATCTTTAAATAATCATCAAAATGTTTTCTGATTTGAATTACTTCTTGGTATCATAGTAGTTTCTTTCTTTTCTTCTTCCCTATAGATCCATAATCTACTTGGATCAGAATGGTGTATAGAGTTTCATGTTGTTCATCACCATTGATTGATGCCACTTGGCTTGTAGAGGTATTTGGAGAGGGCTTATTTCTGTTTGAAGGCTCAGAAGTTATTCCTGAAGTCTTTGCTTGAAACCAAAATCAATTGGAGAGAACTTGGATTGGTTCAAGTTGAGCACCCTAGAATCAGTTTGGAGTGGTACTTGCCTCTTCTTTGACTCATTTTGAACGCATTTATTTGGAGTGGGGTTAGATGGGGTTGGCAATTTTTTAACCCAACCTACTAACCCATTCATTAATTGATAGGTTGGGTTGTATTTATTTAGTCCTAGGTAATTAGTAGATTGGTTAACTGAATAAAGGGACATTTAATGGATTGGGTGGGTTGGTCATGGTTATCTAGCATGCGCCCATTAACAAATTATGATCTTTTGGATTTCAATTTTCACTCTCTTCCCTTGTTGTTTCGATAAGGCTCGGTAGTTTGTGACTTTGTTTGTACTTTGTTCATCTCTCTCTCTCTCTCTCATACACACACACGCACAAAGTCTCTCAGTCTCTCTTAGTGTTTCCAACATATTGTTGACTTGGTGGTTGAATCGTTCAAATAGTCACTCGGTTATGATTCTAGGTTTGGTTCTCATAAAACATGTCTTTTGGTCTTGGTCAAAAATTATTTGACTTGGGTTAAATTGTTGACCCATTTGACTTGGTCATTGGGTCTCAAGTTGCACTCGATGTATGTGCAAACTGTTAAAGTTCGGCCTGCCCTAGAAGTCTGTTTTGTTTGTTAGTTGTAAAGTAAACAACAAGAAGGAAGAGAGGAAAGAAGAAGGAAGAAAGAGGAAGGAGAAGAGAAAAGGTCTGGTTCGAAAATAGGAAAAAGTCAACCCTAGGTTCGGCCAGACCTGTTATTATATTATTAATGTGCCTGGAAAAGACATAAGTGCCC